TGATATCATTTATCGGACTGGTGATGTCGCCAATTTGAATAGGTGATATCACTAATTTGTATTTCATACAACAATAAATAATGAATGATTTGTATTTCTTACAACAATGAATAATGAATGCTCGCTAGACCCTAGACTGATTCCACTGGAATCAAGACAAATTCGGACTGCCCAATGTTCACCTGTATTTTAGTCCAAGACATTTTAAATACCTTATTGAATGGATCCCTGTAAAGTTATAAATTTTGTAAATATTACCCAGCTGGGGTACAAAAGAGTGGCGTACATTTCACTCATTTTTAGGTCACCTGAGTAAACTCAGGTGACCTATTGCTATCTGTTTTCGTCGTGCGTTAACATTTGAACATTTTCAGCTTCTTCTCTGCAACCACTGAACCAATTTCAACCAAATTTGGCACAAAGCATCTATGGGTGAAGGGGAACAAAAATTGTGAATTTCATGATCCCTGCCCCCTGGGGCCTGAGGGGTGGGGCCAAAACCACTAAATTTAATGCAATCTTTAAAAATCTTCTTCTTTACTCCTGGACATCAAGCAGTCAAACTGTTTGCATGATTGTAATCAGCAATGAGTCCTCTACCAAAATTGTGAAATTCATGGCCCTGGGGTCAGGGGTTCTAGTGCTAGGGCGGGGCTAAATAAGTAGGTAGTGAAAATGCATTATTTCTTTGAAAATCTTCTTCTCTGCTCCTGGGTATTAAATAAACCAACTAAGTACATAGTTATGATGAGCAAGAGTGCCTCTACCAAAATTGTGAATTTTATGGCCCCAGGGTCAGGGGTTCTTGTTTTAGGGCGGGGCTCTATTGATTATATAGTGAAAATACATGAATTCTTTGAAAATCTTCTTCTCTGCTCTTGGGTATTAAATAAACTAACTAAGTACATAGTTATGATGAGCAAGAGTGCCTCTACCAAAATTGTGAATTTTATGGCCCCAGGGTCAGGGGTTCTTGTTTTAGCGCGGGGCTCTATTGATTATATAGTGAAATGCATGAATTCTTTGAACATCTTATCCTTTGCTCCTGGTTAATATACTAATGATCTAATTACATATTTAAGGCCAGGATTTATTTTATTTTCAGTTTTACAAACCCTCCGCTAAAGGTTTTGAATTTTCAGAAAAAAATAAAATAATTTTTTTCTTTTCCGATGTCAAATTTGAGTCGGGATCGAGATTTCAAATTTACGAACTCGCACTTCCGGTTTTAAGATGAAATGGTGGGTAAATAAAGCTAGATCTGAGAAGATAGCTTGGTTTAGTGTAAAATTCATCGATACGAGTGCCATTCAAAACGTTTGACCCGTTCAAAGGACAAATAAAATGCTGACGACTTTGTTGCACAATGACATGCTGGTGAGATAATTATGTATTCGTTTCAAAAGTATCTGTCTGTAAATTATTTTCCTCTCCCAGGTTTTAAACTGCCCGTGGTAGCTATTGCATATTGCCAGCGACATTGTTTAGGTCTCTGTTATAGCTTACAGTCTAAGCATCATTCTTCAGAAAAGGGTTGCTTATGCATCAGATGTAATGAATAAAACTATGAGAGAAGTTAAGTCCATTTGAGGAAGAAATAAACAATAACCTGAAGAAAAAAAAATCAACTATTAAAAGGCAAGAATATACAAATATATACAGGCATGTAGTATCATTTGTATCAGCCAGAAAAATTATTTTACACTTAATTGAAAAAATGTTCACCCTACTCCCCAATACTCCCTGTCTGTTTTCTGTATTATGGCAGATGATGAAATAAGCAATTGAATGTTCTACTTTCCAATTTGTAAGCATTATGTGTCCAGTGGTAAGGAGCCTATTAGAATAGCATAAAAAAGAATGTACAAATGTTAATAATTGATTTATCGAATTTTTTTTTTTATTTCCTTCTCCTTCGGGACTTTTTTATTCTCATGTTCATAACTAAACCTAAACATAAAAAAAAAAATGCTGGCCTTATAATGAAGAAAGGGGCGGCTTTCAAAATAGGTAATTTCAGGGCCGCAGGGTCAGGGGTACCAGGGGGGTACTTTGACTAAAAATAAATTAATGCTGTGAAATCTGCCCTTTGATAAGCAATGGTGCCTCCTTCAAAATTTGTGAATTTCATGGCTTTTGGATTAAAACGCGAACCAAATACAATCGCTGGAAAGTTGTTACATGATACTCAGGTGACCTATAAGGCCCGTGGGCCTCTTGTTATGTTAAGAGGACATTTTCTCTAAAGAATATTTATTATGCGTTTTTTACGATTTTTCATTTTTCATTTAGTATACATGACACTGTAGAAATACAATTTTTCATGCGCATAAAATTTCGTTGATTTGTCGACTAGAGAGGATTTGTGGACATGAAATTTCGTAGTTTCGAAATTAAACCCATGCAAAATATAGTCATATAAAATTTCGTGTGGGATTTATTTTCGTTGATAATTAGTAACAACGAAATAAACGAAATTTATCACCCACGAATATTTCTGCTTCTACAATAAATAAGTGTAATAAATTAAATTAATTTGTGAGCAAAGCAAACTACAGTTAAGTTCTACTGTGGTGCTTAAAACTATTCAAAATAAGGAGATTTCACCCATTTCAATAAGTTATATCACGTTTTGGCAGTAAATACCAAAACGGTACCTCATAAATTATGAACGTTATAGGCCATGATCGACGTCAAATTTCGTATAATTTCTGCTTACTTCAAAGTCAGGCGACCTTTTGATGAATGAAATCTGCGCAGGCTAGAGGAATTATGAACAGTAGTAAATTTTAACGAGTTTCAAGTCAGGAGTCACTGTATACAAAGTGCTAATCGAAAATCTACTTGATTTGGATCACTAGCTATATTTGTTTGGGTCCTTCGAAGTTTCTGTCTGCACATTTAGACAAAAAAATGTGCTTTTATATTCGTTTTCTTACTGATACTAAAACTACTTCAAACAATATGAGACTTCTTCTTGGTATATTTAAAGATAACCATATTTTTGTTTAGTCTACCCCTCCATAAACATTGGAAGCACTCGTTTTTCACGCATCTAATGGTCATTTTTCGACTAATCATCCTCTGGAATGGACTGTTGACATTATTTCAATAAAACATTTATTGTAATTTTTAATATGAATCTTTATCAAACGTAAGCTATCAAATTCGACCACAAGGTCTTCTTTATAACCTGGCAATTACATCAATAATTAGCATGTATCTTTCTTGTGTGAAAAACCATAATTAGCATGTTTCTTTCTAGTAGTAAATAAATAGCTACATGTGGCTACAAGTAGATTTATATACATCTTTAATGAAGCTACAAAGAGGAGATACATGCGTTCCTTAATTTGAACTCTCTAGTTTATTTACAAGTTTATCTTTTAAAAGGGATACTATATACAGGGTTATTTTCGCCCCGTGTTATTTTCGCCCTTTCACATCTGAAATCAAGTTTGCCCCTTTTAAAATTCGACCAAAAGGTTTATCTTTAAGATAGTATACAGTTTACTTTGAGTTCGCCCCGTTTTAAATTTGCCCACTTCCGACTAGGGCGAAAGGGGCGAAAATAAAACGGGGGCGAAAATTTCCCTGTATACAGTAGGTGAGCTAGCGCCGAAGCAATTTTTAAACACAGAAAGGAGGATCCATTATCAAGTGTCAAGTTATCAAGTTTATTTTGCTGAATTCTTTAATTTTATTGAGGCTGAGAGTGATAAAGTTATAATTGTTTTGTGAAGTGTATTTTTTAGACACATAGGAAAAGAAACGGGGGGGGGGGGAGGGTTGTGTTGACCTATTGGAGTTTGGGCGAAAAGGAACATTTATGACCTTTACTGGAGAGGGGGAAGACTATATAATATGGTGAACATGCCGATTGTGGCATTGTATAAGCTGGTTTAAGAATAGAATTTCTTGGCAATGTAGCAAAGAAAATACAGGGGAGTTAAAAGGAATATAGTAAATAACTCAAAGTTTTTGTTGTATTAAGAAATCCAGAGAGCTCCGAATGTGAAGATGTGAAGTAGCTTGGTCCTTTGGGTCATCTTTGTCATGAAATGTCAGGTTACAAGCCATACACATCAGAATTTTTTTCTCAATAATAATGGATTTATTCGTTATTTCAGTGTAAATTCTTGTTTCTGGAATTTGTAAGATTGGCTGAATTAACCAATTAGAAATTAGAGTCTATCTTTAATTGTGCCTAGACGTAAAGAAAAAAATTTCCCTTGTCTTTGTTTAGAACAATCAGATAATGACTCGGGCTTTTCCGTCAGAAAAAACCCGGAAAATATTAAGTATTACAAATATGTAGTTATCTGTAAAGTGAAAGCTACACAATAAATAAACATGATAGTAATTTAATGCTACAACATCATACAAATTTACACAATGTTTAAAACATATTTCTTTTCTAATTGACTATTAATGTATTCTAAAATGTACATTTACATAAATTAGGAATTTATAAGTATTTAATTTATGTACACCTTTTAGATAACAATTGTTTTTAAATTATTGCTTTTATCGAATGAAATAAAAAAAAAACTCTGAAATTGTCACATAAAAACTAAGCAAGTACATACTAGTATTTGCATCCAAGATGACTTGAATTAAACGTTTTTCTTTGACATCCTCTCTAAATTTATTTTTCTGACTTTTTTTACAAAGGTCATCGTCATTATTTTTAATAATCCTTGTGGTAACATGTCAATCACGGTGCCCTGTAAAACGCACATACATGTATAAGATTGGCAAACCTATTATTGAATTTCTATATAAACACCTTATCAGGCATAAACTTTTGAAGTCTTATTTCATTATTTTCAAATGCTTGTATAATCTTAAGTGAAACTAAGAAAAATACTTCACAGCACTGAATTGGTATTTACTTTTATTTCTAAATGCTTCACTAATTCAGTGCTAGCTTGATGTTTTGATACTTTATGATTAGCCATAAATATATTCCAAGATATGCAAAATGCCACAATACAAACCTGAAGAACATGAGCCCAGTATCCATTGGTAAAATCTGAAACTCCAACGGAATCCAGGGCAGCTTTCGCGTAAGTGGTTGCACTAGGTTCAAATAAGGAAGGTTTCCTTGTCTTCGAGCTCTTTGTTGCGTAAGAAAATGGCTTGCTCATATTTGTAACCACAGAATATGGCACCACACACTGCAAAGAGTTTAAGGATCAATGTGTTTGCGGGTTTGTCTCGATCCACACATATTTCAGTGCAGCTGGACAAAGCAGGACAGGATTAGGAATTACAATATGGTCTCGTCATTGTATTCCGTTCTAAAAATATTGTATAAAATATTTACCTACCTGACAAATAATTCCTTTTGATTCATATTCAGATTGTATACACCGGGAGAAAAATGTCACATATGCCTGAAAATGTGATTTTCTTGAAAAGTCAGTTATGCAGGTAATATTTTACTAATTTCATTTGCTAGTTAAAATAATATTTATGATCGTAAGTTTTGTGTCGCTAAAAATTGATACTGCATAAATTCTGTAGTATACTTATTTTTTTTATAATTGAAAAAAAAATATTAAGACGTTACTTGGACAACTCTTGTGTTCGGCTTGAATTCCAAGCTCATTTATTCATTCAGAATACTTAAAACCTTATTTTCTCCTTAAACATGAAAATATCCAGGCATAGGATGTTGGACTTTTGAAAGATTAAAATAAGGAGGTCAATCTTTCAATTATTTTTTTTTAATTTATAGAGAACATTTGTGTGTGGGTGGGGGGGGGGGTGTTTGATGAACAGATTGGGAGGATACCGACCCACGAATGAGGACAGACTTCTGATTAGACTTCATTTTTTTTTATCTTTCAGATGGTGTAGTAGTTGAAAAGGGTTCAATTTTACATCTAGAGACATTTTGATATTTATAAGTTTGGGACCTTAAAGGGGAGAAAACTTGCAGCAGAAGAGTGCTGTTTAGTCCAGAGGAAGAGAACAGACAGAAAGTCCTAGTATAAGAACGACTGTCTTAAAGATTGAGCACAGGGTGGACAGGAGGAAGGGGCATCACTTTACAACTGGTGAGATACTTTTGTTTTGAACATATTGTATTGAAATAATGAAATGGATTGGAAACAAGTTCTTATAACTTACTTGTCTTCTTATAACTTACGAGTTCCTCTCGTATACTAGTAAAGCACAAGTATAGAGAATATACTCGATAACGTATCCTGCAAATTTAATTCAGAGCTAAGTCTAGACCGAATTGATAGATAACATACTTTACTGGCGGAGTATACGGTTTGCAGAGGAATAGGATGCACTCCACCAGCGGAAGAAATGTTTATGACTGCGCCTTTCTTTCTCTCCACCATTGCAGGCATAACAATACTCGTCATCTGTATATGAAACAGAAAACTTTTAAAAGAATTAAAAGGTAGGAGAATTAAGCATTTATAAGCATTTTTTATGATGTCTGTTATATGTTGTTTTTGAGTACAATATAACTTACCATGGTCACAGATGTTATATTTACGTTGATAATTTTTATAAAAACCTGAAAGAAAAATATATAATTAAGTACCATTAGTAAAATTTAAAATGTTGAATATCGCAGAAATATTGTCAAGCAAAACTAGGTATCATTAAATGAAGTCTATCTAAAATTTGATGTGAAGGACAAAAAGGTCAAGTAGATTTGTAAACTGTACAAAAGATATTTCCACAAAATTTATCTAGGTGTAGGGAGAAAATTTTGCTACCAGTATTTTATTGTAAGAAAAAAAAATGATAAAATTTGTCTTCGTTCAAAATTGATTTTTAATCTAATTGAGTAAATAGGGCTAAAATTTATTACCATTTATTGGAGTTTATAAAAATAGCATTGACCTTGACTTGTTACTAAACTGAACACTCTTGCTCTGGGGTTTCATAAGTATTATGTCATACAAGCGTCTTAAGACAAGAGTTATATATCCCAGACAAGGATTTTCTTTAAATAAAAGATCTACTTCAATCTTAATCGACTTTAAGACTTGACTTGGCTAATAGGCACTATTATTTCTTTACTTGGAGGACACTCTTAGATAGATATGAGTTTGATTCGTAGAAGGGGAGAAGTAAAAAAAATGTTCCTCAAATCCTAGTGTTGGAGTATAAGCAGAATTGGACAAAATTGCAAAACATTATATTGCAGATAAATTATATCGCCTGCATAGCAAAGTTACTAGAAAGCAGAATCAAATCCATTTTGCGATGATGGGATTGGTCTTTCTAATTAAAGCGTATTAAACAACACCGTATGTCTCAGTATATGCTAGCACGATAAGATCATTCACTGCTCAATAGTCAAACACCAAACACATGATTTGCAGTGGCCACAGATAGCGTTGCAGTATATGTGAAACATTTTTAAACTAGTGCTAATTGTAACGGGGACCGTTACAGATGTTCCCCAAACGCTCCCCATGTCCCTTTTCGTGCCTTATTCCTCTAGGACCTTTTATAAATATGCTAAGTATCCAAGGATTTCATTTAAGAATATTAAAAGTTACAATGATATCAACTATATATCGTTTAACGTTTTGCATGTGCGCACACGTACATGTACATGCATATGCAAGATGATTATGGCATGTTGGTTAAGCGATTAACATATCTTTCTATCCCGCGAATCAAAGAAAAAAAATTCATA